TGGTGGCCCTCTAGATACCTCAAGAGCTGGCAATTAACAATGGATTCCATTATTTTGGAGAACAAGGAGGTTATAGCTATTGGGCGATAGTTGGACGGATCAGAGCGATCGCCTTTTTTAGGGATCGGATGTATCAAAGCGGTCTTCCAGCACTTCGGGACAGTGCCGAGCGAGTACAGGTACCGGAAAAGGCGCGTTAAGACCGGAGCCAACTCAGGAGCACAAGTACGCAGCACAATTGGGGGGATACCATCCGGCCCGCTCGACTTATGAATGTCCAAGGAAGATAGTGCTTTGCGGACAGCACGTTGCCGGAATGTGATTTCCGGCATCGAAGAATCACACCGCGAAATGGTCGGTGGTGATCTCCCTCGGTCATCCAAAGTCGAGTTAGACGCGAAGAGACAGCCCAAAAGGTCAGCCTTCTCCTTCGCAGTGTGGGCCAGAGAGTCATCCTCCCTGTGCAGTGGCGGAATGGCGGGCTGACAAAAATTCCCTTGGACAGCTTTGGCGAGAGACCAGAAGGCTCGAGTCCCTGATGGGAGTTGGGCCAATCTCTCGCCAAATCTGGCAATGTGCTCTGACTTTGCCTTAGTGATTTCCCGTTTGAAGGACCTGGAGGCTGAGTTATATGCTTTTTTAAGTTCGCTGGTATTGGCATCACGAGATTTCGCCGCTTCCGCCCATGCCTTAAAGCATTCTCGCTTTCGACGCGAGGCCGCCTTGCAAGAACGTTTAAACCAGGGCTGAGACTTGCCACCGATCGGCACCGCAGAAAATGGAATAAAGAGTTCCATGCCCTGCAGAACCACTTCGGCGACAGAGGCGGCGACGGAATCTGGAGCTTCCGGCGAAAAGCACATAGGCCCCCCAAGGGTAGGACGCAAAGAAAGACCGCATCCCGTCCCAATCTGCTGACTTATAGTGCCAAATACGGCGACAACCCATAAAGCGGGGCCGTGAAGGGCGCGTAGATGGCACAGTACTCCGGACCACACAATGATCTGATGAACCCAATGGCGGGTCAACAGAGACTTGATAGTTCTCCGGATGAGAAGTCAGCAGAAGGTCCAATAAAGAGGGTTTATGACCATCCACATCTGGTATTCGCGTAATCGCAGGGACCATTTGTGTCAGGTCGTAGGCTAAAGCAAAGTCGTGAAAGGATCTTCCCGCGTGATCGGTGGTTTCAGAGCCGAGCCAATCGGCATGGTGGGCGTTAAAATCGCCAAGTATCACGATTTCAGCGGTAGGAACCCTTTCGAGCAGGGAATCTGTAGCCATTTGGATGTGCTCAATGAGTCGGTCAGTTTCGGTATTTCCGCTATGGGACCTATACAGGCATGCGTAGAATCGCGGATGGTCATCGCAGTCTACGCGCAGCCAGAGGTTAGATAGGTCCCTTCCTTCAAGCGTCCCGAGGCGACGAGAACAGATATCCTCTCTGACGTACACGCAAACTCCAGCCCGCGGCACAAATGAATGTTCCAATTTGTACCCCGGGTAGGATAGGTGGGAAGTATCAGCCGGGGAATATATCTGAGTCTCGGTAAGAAAGAGCAAGGCCGGCTTCGCAGTCTCTAGATGATAGTGGACAGCGTTGATGTTAGAATTAAGCCCCCTAACATTTGTGAAGTCCACGGCGAGTGTGGACGGGGGTGCCTTTGTATAATTGCTCCGTTTGCCCCGAGGACGATTACTATTTTTGTAGAGCGCAGAATTGCCCCCCCCAGAATACGAAGGGCAGCCTGTGCGTCCACCACCGGGTGCTGAGTGTCCCGGTGGTGGACGCCCAGAGGGGATTCTCCACCGCGAGCGCGTGTGGTACCCCCTGGGGTAGATTCTGTTTTTTCTGCACCTTCATATTTCTTGTGTGGGGGGATGGGCTCCGGGAATCTCTCTCACCGCACGAAACGCGAGTACAAGAAGGCGAACCTTTTGCATCACTTCACGCCGGTTTTCTGAGAGACAGTGGTACTGCCCCGGTCGTGCCTGCCCATTTGGCTGAAGCCCGAAGGCAACAGCATGGCACTCCCACTAGGAAGGGGTTGACTGATTGCGCTGATGAAATAACCTCTGTCACAGGTTATTTCACCAGTGGGCGATGGGGTCGTCACGTCCCGACGCCAAAGAATAGTCCTATTCATTTTCAATACAAAATATACGCCCGGCCACATGGTGTGGTTGAGGTGTGGTTGTGGTCGTGGTGTGGTTGTGGTACGTGTGAAAAGGCCCTAATTAAAAAACCTTAGCGCTCTTCTCTTTTTTCAATCTAACGTCAATTCAATTCGACAAAAGACGATGAACCTCTAAAATCGGTAACGCTTTTATAGAATTGGTATAAAAATATTAAATCGGAGCTATAAACTAATAACATATAAAACAAATGTTCCAATTCCCAATATATTCATTCACAAATGATTTTGGTAAATCAATATAAATAATACTCGCATAATGTTCATTTTATTTCGTAAAATGTAGTAATGAAAAGAGACCAAACACTGTTTTAGTTACAGTAATAATACAGAATTAAAAATACTTAACTTTAGTTTTTATTACTTCAATCAAACCAGTGTTGTATCCTTGTATTAGACTCATTTAGTTTTTATTAAGTAAGGATGTTATTACTTAGTCTGCAAATGCAGCGACCCAAAGCGACTCGTGGTAAATTCTTCACATTAGATCCTATTCTTCTTCAGTCACGCTTTTCATTTCTGAAGGTCATCAATGATAACTTCCTCCACTGCCTGTATTTGACAAACCTCTGCGTCTGGGTGATGGTCAGAATTGCAAAAGCCTTTAATTGATTGGTAGCCTTTGGTCCAGTAGGGGATTGGCCTCGAGGTCTGGTGACCTCCACTCTGCCAGTCACAATAAGTGGTTCTTAATTTTCTGGACCTTTGCATGATACATGTCTAAAAAAGCTCAATATCCGTTGGTAGAAAAGTGTTTGTGTGATTTCTTACCTGCAACCGTCATAGTTTGGACAAGTTTGTTTTCTTAGCTGTCCAGGGTATATACGTACTAAGAATCAGCCGCCCGTTACGATGGTATATACGTAGATTAGGTAGAGGCCGGAATCTAGTGATAGGTTATAAGGCGGGGACGAGGTGAAACAAAACTTACGATCGAAAAGAAAATTAGTACGTTAAGTTATTTACAATTTACAGCAAAACTTTTTTTTGGTTACCTTATATATTTATAGAAAATATAAATAAAGTAGTTTTTAAGTATTACATAAGTTATAACATCATACAGTCGGTAATTACAACTCCAAGTTGAAAAGGGAACCCGGAAAAAAGTACAAAATATTCGAAGTAGTTTCCGCTTGTTCGAGGCGACCGGCGACCTCATTCAATAAGCAAATCTCATTAACATAGAAATGAGAGTCATTAAAAATCGATACAACCCTTTTTAGGACCAAAGTCTAGGTTTTCAATGCTATTTCTGTACTTTGTGGTATGTAGTGTGTAATATTGTAAATATAAATTATGATTTTTGTATATTTGTATCAAATCAATTTAGAAATAACTTGTCCGAGCACATATTGTATACATAGGTAAAACTGTGCTTTGTTTATGTTTGAATGTGTATTCCGTCTTTGGCTTTTGTGTACAATGTAATTGTTTGGATTTTGTTTAGTGAGTAGCTGTAGGAATACTGTTGAGCAAATAAATAAATAAAATAAAATACCTCTAAGTAATAAAGGTGGCCCACCCCAGGTTTTGGCATTAAAAATACATAAGTAATTTTCACCCGTGTACCGCTAAACCTCACTTTTTAATACCGATATTAATACTATAATTATCTTTTCATGGAAAAACGTCTGCCGAGTTAGCTTTTTCAAGTTCGTTATTTACTCAAGATAACAAATGTAGGTAATATTATAAATTCTAAGTTATAGTACTGTTGATTAAGATTCAGCAAAGTGTCTACCCAGGGACCAATTTATGTGCAGTTAATAATAACTTGGATTTTGGCTAAACTATTCTACAAGTTTAGGGCGAAATCTTAACACGCATGGGTAACTCGCTACTTCATGTTGTTTGAAGTTAAATGATAAAGGGTCGTTGCATGAATGCACGGAGATAATAACATTCAACATGTAATAGAACTATCGGAAAAGGGTTACAAAACCAAACACCGAACCACACCATACTGAAGCTATTTGGTCAGACTTTTTCAGATCTATATAATTGTTAGGGGATCTCTCAAGGGTTTTTTTAAATAAATTAACGAGGAGTTTGTACAGTTATACACTAAAAAGCCACAAATTACGCGCAAAAATACACTAATTACCACACACAAAATACGGTCACTAGTTACTTCAATTACGCTCACTTCACACAGTTCTCTATCACTTATCTCCACTATTCGCACTTTATCTCTTCAATGTTAATCTCTCGGAATCGCACTCGAAACTGAATTAATTGGTCGCGTTTCGGCTCGCCGATACATCCCTGGGAATAATCTTGAACGATGTTCGAGAACTCTCTATGCAGGATTGGCACTGAGTAGCGACTGCACAATTCTAGAACGTACGTACTATTTATCTCTTTCGCACATTGCTCCATCCTTGTCGTACGGCGTTCTTTAGTGTTTAGTCTGGTTTCGATAAGGTTCCAATCTTCCCTCTCTTTCGTGTATTTTACATTCCATCCTTGTGCCACATCTAGTCGGTCTAGAATATTCCATCATCAAAGGGGTATAACTAGCCCTGAAAACGGGTTTCCTGAAAACTGTACCACTCGACTACACATATTCTGAAACTGCCTGAATTGTTTTTCCTAAAAACGAGGGCAACGTTATGCAAATTACAATTTAATATGTGATTGATCCTCGCCGGAAACGGTCAGAAACCACTTTTCAGCTTGCTGAAAACGTCCCTAACTGGTGCAAAAATCGAGAAACATTTCAGTCAACCCATCTTCGTAACAATATTATATAATATCTAAAGATTAGTGCTGAGCTACTAATCAGCTGGTAATCCAGCACTAATCATGTCAGTACGGATTTCGTCGAGGTCACTCAGCTCAACTCACGACATTACAAAATTACCGGCTTATAGACCCGTGAAATTGTGCGAATGGACTTCTAGTTGTTTGGCCAACAAGGTCTTTGTCGACGGTGCGTTTTTCGACTTAAAACCCACAATTGCTGGAGTTCCCCAAACCTGTGTACTTTCTCTATCACTGTTTGTCTTGAATATCAATTATATGTTGCAGTCAAGCAACGTGCATTACTATGCGGATGACAGCATTGGGGATATACCGGCCTTTATAATTGCCGTGCTAATATTTCTCGGGTGGATGCAGACCGAGCAGTGTCGGCACAAACTTCTGTCTGACATTGAGGCACTTACATGACATGAGGGAGACTCCCGGAGCCCATCCCCCCCCCCCATATGAAATATGAAGGTGCAGAACAAACAGAATCTACCCCAGGGGGGTACCACACGCGCTCGCGGTGGAGAATCCCCTCTGGGCGTCCAACACCGGGACACTCAGCACCCGGTGGTGGACGCACAGGCTGCCCTTCGTATTCTGGGGGGGCAATTCTGCGCTCAACAAAAACAGTCATCGTTCTCGGGGCAAACGGAGCAATTCAACAAAGGCACCCCCGTCCACGCTCGCCGTGGACTTCACAAATGTTAGGGGGCTCAATTCCAATATCAACGCAGTCCACTACCATTTAGAGAGTGCGAAGCCGGTCTTGCTCTTTCTTACCGAGACTCAGATTTCCTCCCCGGCTGATACTTCCTACCTCTCCTACCCGGGGTACAAATTGGAACATTCATTTGTGCCGCGGGCGGGAGTTTGCGTGTACGTCAGAGAGGATATCTGTTCTCGTCGCCTCGGGACGCTTGAAGGAAGGGACCTATCTAACCTCTGGCTGCGCGTAGACTGCGATGACCATCCGCGATTCTACGCATGCCTGTATAGGTCTCATAGCGGAAATACCGAAACTGACCGACTCATTGAGCACATCCAAATGGCTACAGATTCCCTGCTCGAAAGGTTTCCTACCGCTGAAATCGTGATACTTGGCGATTTTAACGCCCACCATGCCGATTGGCTCAGCTCTGAAACCACCGATCACGCGGGAAGATCCTTTCACGACTTTGCTTTAGCCTACGACCTGACACAAATGGTCCCTGCGATTACGCGAATACCAGATGTGGATGGTCATAAACCCTCTTTGTTGGACCTTCTGCTGACTTCACATCCGGAGAACTATCAAGTCTCTGTTGACCCGCCATTGGGTTCATCGGATCATTGTGTGGTCCGGAGTACTGTGCCATCTACGCGCCCTTCACGGCCCCGCTTTATGGGTTGTCGCCGTATTTGGCACTATAAGTCAGCAGATTGGGACGGGACATTCATAAGTCGAGCGGGCCGGATGGTATCCCCCCAATTGTGCTGCGTACTTGTGCTCCTGAGTTGGCTCCGGTCTTAACGCGCCTTTTCCGGTACCTGTACTCGCTCGGCACTGTCCCGAAGTGCTGGAAGACCGCTTCGATACATCCGATCCCTAAAAAAGGCGATCGCTCTGATCCGTCCAACTATCGCCCAATAGCTATAACCTCCTTGTTCTCCAAAATAATGGAATCCATTATTAATTGCCAGCTCTTGTGGTATCTAGAGGGCCACCAGTTGATTAGCGATTCTTCTTTCGTCGTGGTCGCTCAGCTGGTGACCTCCTTGTATACCTTACCCATAGGTGGGCAGAGGCAATTGAGTCCAAGGGGGAGGCGCTGGCGGTAAGTTTGGACATAGCGAAAGCCTTCGATCGGGTGTGGCACAGAGCACTGCTCTCGAAGCTTCCAGCCTATGGGCTTCCCGAGAAATTATGCGATTGGATCTCCAGCTTTCTGGCCGATCGGAGCATCAAGGTCGTCATCGACGGAGCATGTTCCGACCTTAAACCTGTGAACGCTGGGGTCCCACAAGGCTGTGTTCTATCCCCGACCCTATTTCTTCTGCATATCAATGATATGTTGCAACTTAGCAACATTCATTGCTATGCGGATGACAGCACTGGGGATACTTTTTACACTGGCCGGGCAGATATTTCTCGGGCAGTTGTTGATGAGTACCGGAACAAACTTGTGTCTGAAGTCGAAACTCTACTACGTGGAGTCTCAGACTGGGGCAGACAAAACCTAGTCCAATTTAACCCCAAGAAGACACAAGTTTGCGCGTTTTCCGCTAAAAAAACACCCTTTGTCGCTACTCCTCTTTTCGAAAACACTCTTCTTAAAGCCACAGCCAGCATTGGAATACTTGGCGTTGACATATCGAACGACGTTCAGTTTCGCGGTCACTTGGAGGGAAAGGCTAAATTAGCCTCCAAAAAGCTTGGTGTGCTCAGCAAGGCGAGGCGGTACTTCACTCCGGGCCACCGCATGCAACTATATAAAGCGCAAATTCGGCCCCACATGGAGTACTGCTCTCACCTCTGGGCGGGGGCTCCCCAGTACCAGCTCCTTCCACTTGACCGTATACAACGCAGAGCGGTTCGAATCGTCGACGACCAATCCCTCTCCGAGCGTCTTGATCCTTTGGCGTTGCGTAGAGATGTGGGGTCACTCTGCATCTTCTACCGCATTTACCATGGAGAGTGTTCAGAGGAGTTGTTCGGATTAATACCTGCAGCTGAGTTTCATCATCGGACGTCGAGACAGAATACGAAATTCCACCCGTATCACCTCTACGTTCGCGGTTCCACAACTGAGCGTTTTTCAAGGCAGTTTTTGCCGCGCACCACCACTATGTGGAATCAGCTGCCCACTGAAGTATTTCCGAACCAATTCGACTTAGGGTCCTTCAAGAAAAGAGCGTACCAATTCTTAAAAGGCCGGCAACGCACTCGCGAGCCCTCTGGCATTGAGAGTGTCCATGGGCGGCGGTGTCACTTAACATCAGGTGTGACTCCTGCCCGTTTGCCCCCGTTCTATAAAAAAAAAAATGTCTCAGACGGGGGTCGACTAAATTTAGTCGAATTTAGCCCAATGAAGACACGAGTTGGCGCGTTTTCCTCTAAAAAGAATCCCATCGTCATAGGAACATTCGTCATGGTCGTAGAACAATGTCGGATTAGAAAAAATCCAAAATCCACTTTTTATCATATTTGGATACTACATCGACTAAATATTACGCCTACATTTAAAAAAAATCCATGTGTTTTAAATTTCAAATTAATCAGTCAATAAAGTGACGGATTTGATAGAAACATTTTTCAAGAAAAGTGTAATTTAATGTTATTATTTTTATTTTGTTTCAAAACGAACCCTTTTGTTTACTTGTATGCCAATTTTCATAATAACAGAATATGAATTAAAATTGTAAGGACAAAAACTAACATGTAAAGTTTACTACTTGTCAGATCCGTCACTATTCTACGATTATGACGCATTATTTGAAGGCACTCCCTTTAAACCCTCTGCCAGTGGTGGCCACTGGCGTTGACATATCAAGCGACGTTCAGTTTAGCATTTATTTGGAAGGTAAGGCTAAATAAGCCCTCAAAAAGCTTGGTGTGTTCAGTAAAGCGAAACGGTACGGCACTCCGGGTCACCGCTTACAAATGGATATAGCGCAAATTGGGCCCCACATGGAGTACTGTTCTCTCCTCTGGGTGGGAAATCTCCATTAGCAGCATCCTTTCCCTCCTGGACCGCGGAAGCGTTTAGACGTGTGCATTCTATTTGTTTTATAACTTAAAAATCAAATTAAAAATAAATTCCGTGCGAATAAATTAAGGTGTGTACCAGGAGCGCATGAGTTGCGTGCAGTAAGTGCATCTGTGCGAACGGGACAACACTTGTGAGACAGCTTAAGTTGTACGCTCCGTCTGCGCGCATCATTGATACGCAAGCTTTGTAAGTTGCCGTAATTCATAAGCGATAGCGGGTAGCGGAAATTTATAGGGGGCTGGTCCAAGTTTATTTTTTCGTGTACTCTGGTGTCATCTTTTGTCAGAAATATGCCTCTTAAGCGCACACCTCCCAGCACCCCCACTCCCGAAGACTTAAAGGAAGCTAGGTTGAACGCGCCGAAAGCTTCTTTTTCGGGCTCCGCGCCAGATTTATCTAATGAGGAGCGAAGCAATGTAACTATGAGGCGCAAGCAGGATGAGTCCTATATTAAAAAATTCATAACCGAAATTAAGGATATGCTTGCTAAAGCAAACTCTCAAAATGAAAGTAAATTCACCTCCTTGCAATCCTCCATGAGAGAAATCTTGACACAAAATACAGAAATAAAAGACTCCATTGCTTTTGTCTCTAAGCAGTACGAAGATATGAAAGCTAAATACGAGAAATTGGAAAAACAGAGGAATGAAGATCGTCTGTATATTGATCAGCTTGAAAAGAAAATCGAGTCGCTGGAACGAACGTCTGCCTCAACTAAACTTGAACTAAGAAATATTTCTAAGATTACCGGTGAAAATAAGGATAGTTTATGTAACATTGCTTCAAAAGCTGCAGATGTTATTGATTTTCCCATACAGAAACAGGATATTAAGGATATTTATCGTACAAAAAGTAAAACTGGACATGGAGCAATTATTGTGGAATTGGGCAGCGTTATATTGAAAGATGGTATTATTGAAAAGGCACGCAAATTTAACAAAATGAATTCTGCTAACAGATTGAACACGGCACACTTAAGTTTGGAAGGACCAGCAAAGCCATTTTTTATTTCAGAATGTCTATCACCCTGCGGAAAACGATTAAATTATCTGGCTCGTGCATTTGCTCAGGAAAATGGATATAAATTCTGCTGGACCTCATTTGGAAGAACCTACCTGAGACAAGATGAAGGTAAACGGCATATTAGAATTGATAGTGAGGGTGATTTAAATAAACTTCGTCTAAAACAATGACTTTTTGAGGCCCCCAGGAAACTCCGCCGGCCTACGATAACTTTCCTGTTTGTGAAAATCCGGCACTTAATTATTGTTTTTATAGATATTATTTTATTTTTTTATATATTATATTATTGTTTTTCTTTATATACATACTTATACTCTGTTCATTGTATTGTATTTTACATAACTAAAAAATTATACATTCTTAGTCTAGTGATCATGTTGAAATCGAGATCTTATCTTTGTAAAAATGTTAGCATTTCTCAGACACGAGTAGCTGCGACAAAAAGCTTAATATTTTACAAATGGCTAGATTTATTGATAATATAAATAATGATATTGATAATATAACAGTGGCAACTGCCTACAGTTGTGATATAAAAAATTGTAATGATTTAGTAAAAAAATCAGGAAACTCCCTAAAAATTATAACACAAAATATCCGTAGCGTTTACAAAAATATTGATGCATTCTTGGCCCATATAGCTCGTCTGTACTTTGATCCAGATATAATAATTTTAACTGAATGCTGGTTAAACGACAATAAACCCATACCCAGTCTCAAGGATTATAATTCTTATTTCACAAAAAAATGCTTAAATCAAAATGACGGTATTATAATTTATGCTAAACAAAATATAAATTGCGAAATTGAAGAACCTAATCCTAAAGATGCTAACTTTCTGCTAGCTAAAATAGTACCAGATATTGTACTTTTAGCTATTTATAGATCACCATCCTTTTACTACACTGAGCGCTTTTTTGAATGCTTTGAATGATATTGTTAAATCTATATCATCTAAGAATATATTTTTAATAGGTGATATAAATATCGATATAAAACCTGGAAACGGTGACAGAAACAGTAACTCTTACTTAAATTTAACCAGCGAATTGGGTTTTCTGCCAGGCCACACATATCCAACACGATTAAGCAATTGTCTCGATCATGTAATGGTTAAAACTGTTTTACAAACTAGTGTTATAGTGATAAATTCCACCGTAACTGATCACGACTCTATTCTAATAAATCTATCCCTTAACAGTAAACGGACTAATACTCAGTGCCCTTCTATTGTTGAAAGAGTAAATTTTAGTGAAGCTATAAAATATGTTGAATTGGCTGATTTTACTTTTATGACTAACAAGCAAGACGCCGAGTCTGCTGCGACTCGATTTGTTGAAATTCTGTCATCTGCTATTAAAGCTAACACTGAAAAAGTCCGTGTACCCAGGCGCAAAAAATCTCTTAAGCCCTGGATGACTCCGGGCCTACTTCGCTGTATCCGTCACCGGGATAAACTGCATCTTAATTTAAAAAGGGACCCCCAAAATGAAATTCTTAAAATAACCTATAAAAGGTACAGGAATTTTTGTTGCTCATTACTTAGAAAATTGAAGCGCGAACACGATAAATTCTTATTAAAAAGTGCAAAATCAAATAAAGAAACCTGGGCTGCAATAAAATATGTCACCGATAGTTCAAGTAAAAAAATCTTCTGCCGATGAGTTAATTAGGAATTGTAACGCATTGGATGCGGTTGAGGACATAAATAGTTATTTTTCTAATGTTGGTAGAGAGC